GAGATCTGAATTACGAGCTGGGAGATGAAAGAAAAAAGTGCCATCAGCCGGATGCTTCTCCAACAATGGGAGGGGTAAATTCCTGTCGAATGTTGCCCTTTTTAATCTTCGAAAGGTGCTGAGGGGTGACATTAACGGAAAAGGGGGGGGGGGGAGAGCCCTGACTTAGTATCAGTACAAAGGAGCTGCAGTCACTGTGACCTTGCTTCAGATTTGAGAAGGCCTCTTGGGGCAGTCATTGTTTACGGCTCAGCCTCCAAACCCAGCCGCTGGCGCTGGTTAAATGGACTCATTAGTGAACCCCAATAAGCATTCCATCCATGGAGAGCTCTGGCTCTGGATTAATTCTCCACCAAACACCGTCCTATGACTTGGGTCATGCGTTTGTTTCATTATTCAAGTGCTTATTTCTCCATGTAAAGTGTAGTTTAGGGTGGGCATGGAAGAGCAGGAGTAAGAGGACACAAAAGCGAAATACGGCCTGGCTTGGGTTTTGGGACCCCAGCATGACAAGGCAAAAAAGCCTTGGGATTTATCCTTCCAGGTTAGAAGACCTTCATGCCTCCGGCCTCCTGTGCTTCTATGTTCAATGGCCTATTAGACGCCCCCGCCCTTAATGGCCCCATATACTGGTTGGATCAGTTAGCATTTGCTGCTTGACAAGCTGCTCAAAACTTAATGCCTTGAAACAATTCCTCACAGTTGCTCACAAGTCTCTAGGTCTGTGGAGTGGCTGTCCCAGTCCAGTCCAGGCTCAGCGGACCTTGGCAGTGATCTTTCATTCCTTCACGCATCTGCAGAGCTGGCAGGGGTCAGGGGCTGGTGGCTGCAGAATGGTGTCCTTAGGCAGCCAGTCCGCCAGCATAAAACTGTGGTGGTGGGAGGGGCAGTGACTGAGTCACATGTCTCCTCACCCAGAAGGCTGGCCAGGGTCATGGTTGCTGAGTAGTGTTCCAAAGAGAGTGAGCTGATGTGTAAAAGTCCTCTTAAGACCTGGGCTCCAAGGTGGAACCCATCACCACTACTGCATTCTGTTGGCCAAAGCAAGTCATGGTGCCAGCCCAAATTCATAGGGTGGGTAAAAACACTCCACTCCTTGTTGAAGGGAGCTGCAAAGCCACATTTGAAAGGGCTGAGATGCAGACATGGGTGGGGAATGGGATCCATTTTTGCAACAGACCACACTAACGAGTGTGCGAATGTGCCTCCATACACCACACAGCCCAAGCGCACGACCCAGGGGTGAGACCCTTGACACTCACTGCTGCTCAGTTCTGGCCATTGAGGTGGCCTTGACTCTAACCCCCTCACTTCCACATGGATTAATCACCAAGCTCCATCACTTCTCCTGCCTCCATTTCTTGGTGTCTCATTCTCTCCATCACCCCTGCTCTCACGTCCCATGTGAAGAACCCAGCAGATGCTCACATCTCAGTGGCCAGAACTGAAAAACCGGGGACTAGTGTATTGAAGCACCGAGCAAAGAATTGGGGCTGCCATGACCAGCTCTCCCTGGAGGCTACACTCACCTTAAAAGTCAAGAAATTAGAAGAGGGGATCCCTGTGGAGCAGGATCATTGGGATCTGCCAAACACTCTTCACTTTCCTCAAGTTAAAATGCAGGCCTTTTAAGGGAAAACACAGCCCTTTCTTGGCTGAATCTTGGGCCTACCTCCTAACTGCATCCCAAGTATAAGATCATTTTAGGTTAAGGGTCACCCATGAGGAAGATTCCTAAGACTGTTCTCTGCCCGGTGATAATTATGTCCCATTTTGCACTTACATTGCACCTTTGCTCAGAGAGCTTAAAATGTTATTCCATTGTTTCTCCTTGGAAAGCTTTGTGTCTGCAAATATACAAGCTCACCCATGACATTTTAACGCAGACAATATGCTACTGAACTGCAGAATTATAAATAGCTTTGCCTAAACTGTTGCTGGTTGTGTTCTATTTCATTTGGGGTTTCTTTGTGTCCAGAATTATGTAAAATTGTGGTGCAACCAATATAACACAGGCATGAAGTGGTTTTAAAAAGACAATAGGGATGTGTAGGCACAGATATGAATACACAAATCCGTGGGTGTGTAGATGAGTGTGAAGGGTAGAATTTGGTGATATGCAAATATCAGGCGTGGGTGGTTATTAACCCTTCATCAGCCAAATAAGCTCATTTCTAGCCCTCAGGCAAAACTTGCCAAAAGTCCTCCCCTGCTTCAACTGCCGTCCTTCACCTAACATCAACTACCTTCCCTGTAGGTCCTAAATCCTTAAATACTGAGCTTCCTGGAGACTCAGTCTGTAAGTGTTTTCCTCAGAAAACTATACTTCTGTCCTTTACCAGCTCCCTACAATGCAGCAGTCAAAATTCCTGAAAATCTGCTCTCTGTAAGGCTCTGTTAAGTGCTGATACAGAACACAAAGAACAGCTCCGTTATCATAAACATTCACTGAGAGGACGTTTAAGACACACCTGCCCGCATTCAGACACCTCCGGAGTGACATTAAACTATCATTTATATATTCCTGTTGAGTTCACAAAAAACCCTCAAGTATATTAATTCTTCCTTAATTAATCCTGTGAAGTGGGTAGAGTATCTTCTAAACTGAGGTTCAGACAAGTTTAGCAACTTATTCAGTCACAGAACCATTCAGCAGTGGGCACCTCAGTAGGGGTTTCTCTCATTTCAAATCTTCACCAATGTGGAGAGCAGGATGGAGAATACTGGTCACGCAAATGGAATGACAAAGCAGGTTGGGGTGAGAACTCCAATACAGCTGCAACAGGGAGAATTTAATCTGAGTGGGTCTATTTCTGGGCTCTCAATTCTGTTCCATCGATCTATGTCTGGTATCAAAAATAGTACGGTATTATACCAATATAGTACTGATTTCGATAATTATAGCCTTGCAGTATAGCTTGACATCAGGACAGCATGATACCTCCACCTTTGTTCTTCTCAAAACTGCTTTAGCAATTTGGGATCTTTTGTGGTTCCACATAAATTTTAGAAATATGTGTCTCAGTTCTGTGATGCCACTGGAATTTTGATAGGAATTGCACCGAATCTGTAAGTTGCTTTGGGTAGTATTGTCATTCCAACCCATGAGCATGGAAAAATCTTTCCATTTATTTTGTCTTCAATTTCTTTGATCAATGTCTTAAAGAGTTTTCAGTGTACAGGTCTTTCACCTCCTTGGTTGAATCTTCTAGTTCTAATTGAGTGCCTTTTATTTCCTTTTCCCACACACACGTGGACATTAATTTATGACAAAGGAGCCAAGAACATACCATGGAGAAATGATAGTCTCTTTAATAAATGGTGTTGGGAAAACCAGACAGCCACAATATGCAAAAGACTGAAACTAGACCACTATCTTATACCGTACACAAAAACTGACTCAAAACGAACTGACCTGAAGGCAACATCTGAAACCATAAAAATCCTAGAAGAAAACACAGGCGATAACCTCCCTGACATCAGTCTTCATGATGTTTCTGTGGATCGAATTCCAAAGGCAAGGAAAACAAAAGCAAAAATAAACAAATGGGACTACATCAAACTAAAAAGCTTCTGCACAGCAAGGCACTATCATTAAAATAAAAAAACAGAGATATAAACTACTGTGTATGAAATAAACAAGGATATACTATACAGCTCAGGGAATTATAGCCATTATTTTCTAATAACTTTTAATAGAGTATAATTTATAAAAATACTGAATCACTGTGCTGGACACCTAAAACCCATATTGTAATCGACTGTTCTTCCAAAAGAAAGAAAGAAAAAAAAAACCACCATGAAAACGCAACCCATTGAATGGGAGATACTTGCAAATTATGTGTCTGGTAAGGGGCTACTATCCAAAATATATAAAGAACTCATACAACTCAATAACAAAATAACCCAATTGAAAAACAAGCAGAGGATCTGAATAAACATTTTCCCAGACATTCAGATGGCCAACAAACTCATGGAAAGTTGTTCAACATCACTAGTCATCAGGGAAATGTAAATCAACCACAACTGTATCACTTCACATCTGTCAGCATGGCTATTAACAAAGAGATAAGGAATAAACGTTGGCAAGGATGTGGAGAAAAGAGAGCCCTGTGCACTGGTGGGAACGCAAACTGATGCAGCTACTATGGAAACAGTAGGGAGGTTCCTCACAAAATCAACAGACCTACCAAATGATCCAGCTACTTCAGTTCTGGGTATTTATCCAAAAAATACAAAAAGACTAATTCAAAGATACATGCATGCTTATATTCACTGCAGCATTATTTACAATAGCCAAGATATGAAGTATCCATGGATGGATAAACAGATAAAGATGTGGAATATACATATATATGCAAGATTACTTCCTAGCCACAAAGAAAAATGAAATCTTGCCATTTGTGACAATATGGACGGACCTCAAGGGCATTATGCTAAGCAAAGTAAATCAGATAAAGACAAACACCAAACAATTTCACTCATATGTGCAATCTTAAAAAAAATGGACAAATATTTAAAATAAAACTCAGATACAGAGAACGCGTTAGGCATTACCAGAGAGGACGGAGGTTGGAAGGTAGGCGAAAAGGTTGAAGGGGGTAAAATGGTGGGGATGGTAACTACACCTTTGGTGGTTATCACTTTGTGATGTATATAAATATTAATTCACACCTAGTTTGTTATACTAATTTTATCCCGAGAAAATCTGAAGTGGGGGGGTGAGTAACCAGAGAAAGCTACAGGGAGAAATGACGTAGTCTGCAATCATATTTGCTAGATGGAAACACATGGGTAGAAATGTTTTATCAAGTTGAGAACAGCATGAGCAAAATCATGAAGGCAGGAAGCATACGGTAAGCTTGGGGAGCATGAGCAGTCTCAAAGATTAGGATGTGGTAGATGACCCAAAAGGCTGGGGCCCAGACTGTGGACGGCAAGCAAGACCATGCTAAGGAATTCATCTGGAGGCTATGGAAAGCCATTGAACTATCCTCAAGGGTGGACGGTACCACACACAAGTGTCAAAAGCCATCATCTCATTTTATGGACAGTAAGGAGTACCCCACTGCATTTCTTTTCCAACCCAAATGATTTCCATAAAGTGCAGTCATGCTAGTAAAGTACTATGAGAGGATTTTCTCTGTGCCTTTTCCATTTGGGGCTTTATGAGATGGTCTGTCGATTGCTCCTCACCACTTCGCTGTCTGAAAAAAAGAACCAATGCTGAACCTCAGACTGCTTATTCACTGTTCCATGACACATCTTCCACCTCAGCAGTAACAGCTGCAGGTGCTGCCTCACTGTTACTATTCACAACCAAGCAACTAAGATTCTGAATGTCTCTTAACAGCATCACTTTTCTTCCCTTTAAGTGGGACTGGGATGGAGGAATATGCTATAAACACTCCAAATAAGTTAAATTGTTTAAAATTCTCTTGTGCTCAAGTAAGACAAACCTAACCTCTGATATTTCAGCAATTCTTATTGTTAAATTTTAGCAATTGTTTATATTTTAGAATCTTTTCCATCCAAGTGCAGAGAAAATGCTAATCTACACTAGTGGGAACATGAAACTGATGGGGTTTTTGGCAACAATATACAGGGGAAAACTGCACAAAGTGTGATATATTTTACTCAACCCTTGGAATTGCGTTCAACTAAACAAACAGCTGGCCTTAATACCTAGCTAGATCAAAAGAGAAAGAACTAACAATTCAAGGAACCATGCAGCCTCATTCAGTCATGGCTCTTATTAAGAAAACTTGGTTTCAACTCTACTCTGCTCAGAACCATTATATCCCAAAGGAGGTGCCCAAGAGGGAACTGGAAATACTTATCTACAGCTTCAGAGAAAGTGAGCTTGAAATCTGAATCTCAAGCGTGTTAGAGATGCCCCAACCCCAGAATTTCTGATTATGCATTTTTACCAAGTTCTTAGATGTTGATGCTGCCAGCTGGGGAACCATACTTCGAGATCACCCAGAAAGAACTTAGGAGAGTGACAGGTGTGGAACAGCAAGGAGAATCCAGAATAAGAAGGGTAAGGGGGAGTCATATAGGTAGAAGCCGGGTAAAGTATGATAGCAGAAGCCTCTGGAAGAGAAAAAAAATTGTCGGCTGTCAAACATCAGGGAAATGAAGTAAATGGAAAAAGTCTCTAAATTTAATTAGCAGGTGTTTGGTAACTTTTACGAGTTTCATTAGAGTGGTGTAGGCGGAAGCCAGATCTGCAGAGGGAGATGGAACTTAAGCTACAAAACAAGGAAAAGCTGCTTGCTTCATCTGCTGGCATTCCAAGTCTGCAGGCTGAAGGCAAGGAAGCATTAAGTGGAAAAGGTCAAGGAAACAAGAGGCCAGGAATAACCCGTGAAAACAAGAGCCCCTTGAACACCAACTCTCCCCTCTACTGCCCCTTGCCTCTCCTTGGTGCCTTGTTTTGCCTTGGTTTTTACAGGACTCCCGGCCTTACTGCTCCTCCTAGATTACAACCTCCTGAATGGTGCCTGACCTCCTTGAGTAGAGTAGGTAACAATTAACTATTCCCTAACTGAAAGTATTTGTAGATGTAAGTTGATGACACTCCCCAGCAGAACACAAGGTAGTGGGAAGCCAGTCACCCTCCACAGAAAGGGGCAGAGGAAGGAGTCTGCTTATTTTCACACAATGCTAAGCAAGTCTTAGCTAAAATCTGAGACTAAAGGAAACCAACCACAGGGAGCCTGTTTATTCCAGAAAAAATACCAAGTTATCAAATACAAAAGCTCTGAGCCAAGTGTGCACTTGACATATTCCAGGTGCAGTAAGGAGGCCAGCATAACTGAATCTGACTGGGGGCTGGAAGTGGTACGAGGCCAGAAAGGCAGGCAGAGGCCAGCTGACAAGGGGCTTTGAGCAGGAGTATAAAGGCACTTCAGTATTTGGAGGTCAGAAAGGCAACGAAGCCCAGCACAGACTACAGCAGAGGTAAAACGGGAAGCCTTCCAGAAGCTGAGGCCAAACTCAGCAGAGCATCTTCTCCCACCAGATTAGCCTCAGCCAAGACGAAATGGTAATGACCAGTGCTGAGGAAGCGCAGACACAGCACTTCCACTCACTCATGGGGAGCAAACTGGCATAACGCTTTAAGGCAATTTATCAGAATGAATCAAGAATCTGAGAAACACATTTTAAACTCAGTATTGTCCATTCTCACATTGTGCATGTGAGAAAATCTATCCTTAAAGGATCAAAAAACACCTTTTAGCATATTCATAGTATGCCACTGACAATATTTTACAAAATTACTGCACTATACATCAGATGGAAGAGCTCACATTTTCTGATTATCTGCCCTAAATGTAACTCCCTTTAGTTCTCTTTGCAGCCCTCCCTCTTCTCAGTGTTCAGCATCACCAACCCCTCTGAATCAAGGTACCTTACACTCCCATTTCCTTTTTGTCACAAATGTACTTCATTTGGTCCTGGTTAAATACGGAATCAGAGACTCAAAGTGCACAAATGACATCTAGGAATCACCTGGTCCAATCCCAGTTCACAGATGATACTCTCCTTTTATGGAGACAGAAAGCAGGATTAACATGAACTGCTGAAGAACAAACAAAAAATGTCTGAGGTCTCTTGATCTTTCCACACCACATGGGGGATTGATAATCCCAATTACTCCTGAGCAACATGGTGATTAGCCCTCAAAACTCAGAGAAACACTACAGTAAAATCCATAGGAAAATAAAACTGGACATAAAGTAGAATAAAAATGTCTATTAAAGAAAGAAAAAGCAGTACTTTTCCCATTAAAGAGCATTTATGGAATGCTTATTATGTGCCAGGCACTAGGAGGACAAAATTTAGTAAGGCACCGCCCCCAACCTCAAGTCTAGTGGGGAAGGCAGAAGTTTTCTATAAATTGTAAACACTGTAAGAGAAGCTAACACACCTGTCCTGGGAACAAAGATATGGGGGATTTCACTCCATCAACCCAAGGCCAGAAGTAATCTCTTTGATTACAAACACTTTCATTCCTCTCCTTGAAATACTTTTATCAGAACGGTTCACCTATGACTCAAGGTGGACAAGCAGGAACTCACCAAATGAACAAAGTGTATGTATTTCACGCAAAGTCAAGTACCTGTGTAAAAGAATTGGGGTGACAAAGAGCCGTTCCAATGAACAAATTTTCCTAAAAAGCTAGAGTTTAATGTAGGAAAACGGGAAATAGAAAAAAAACAATTTAGTAGGAACCAGACTAGTTACATATATCCTGGGAAAAAATGAAATTATTAGGACCTGTGTATTAGTTGGATTTCTGAAATATTCTTGTTGTGGAGTAAAACTACAAAGCTCTGAACTAGGACCAGATCATGCAGTAAAAGCCAGCAGTTACTGACCATTCACCTGTGACACCGTGTTGTGTCTCCTACTTGGATTCCCAGAGAAGCTTCACAACCACCCTTGGAGGGAGGGGAGGGCACTTTCACTACCCTTTTCACAGGCAAGGGAAGTGACACACAGGTTAAGCCACCTGCAGCATAACCAGTAAAGGTGAAGCCTTGAAGCTGCCCTAAGATTCTAAGGGAGAAATGAAGAGTGTGACCAAAGGGGCAGGCCTGGAAAGAAGAAAAGGCTGTTAAAGATACGCAAGAAACAGAATTTCAAAATATGCAAAGTGACTGGTAAGAGTTACGGTAACTTCAAATGGGTGCACGGGTGCGTAAGTGGTGCCATCAACTGAGACCAAAGAACAGACCAGGAATGTCAGCTGACGCAGTGTGTAGGTTCTCCTTGTTTTCTGTGGTGGTGGTGAATGGTCATTTCTGTCGTCCAATATGTTTAAACATAAGCCTCCACCACTAGATGCACATCCTTAAAACTAATAACCATCATTTACTATTAGGTTAGCCCCTCACCAAGATTTAAAACCAGGTTTGCTGGATCCCCAAGCAGTCCTATTACCATCACACTTTACTCGGCAAAACTGAAGGCCACCAACACTAGTGGTCTTACCTATTCACAGCATTTAACAGGTTCTTGTTCTTAAGACTAACAGTGGGCAGAGGACACTGAACACAAGAAGTCAAGGTTTCCATTTTAAATAAACTTGCTACAGGTATCAAATACTGAAGACAGCTGGCATGGGATGCTATCAATTTCCTTTTGGACGTCTGCCATATCCAATTAAAAATATCCAGGAAGTAACAGAAAACCTAAAATGTGCCCCAACTATACAAAGTAACTTTTAAATGTTCTCATTACTAGGAAGCACTATAGCACTAATGATCAAGACCTGATGATGCAGCCAGACTTTCTGGGTTTGAATCTTTGTCTAACACTCTGCACCTGCAACGTTGTAAAATGAACAAAATAAATTATTCCAAGTTTTTTATGAGTACATTATGCAAAGTGCTTTGAATATGTTTATCCTTGGTTGAAATAAAAAAAAGGTATTCAAATGATCACTAACACATTTTCTGAGCCCTGTTGCAAGAGGGGTCAAAACTCAGCACTAGTATATAACTCACAGGATGGAGATGAGGCTTTAAACAATGTATTTTTAAGTAATAGTCTTCAAAGCCGAGTTCTGATTCAAAAGACAGCTATTTATAGTGCAATTATGAGTAATAAACTTTCCCTGTGCTTAACTGTAATGCAACAGATATTTCACTTATTTTTTAATCCCTTATTTTCATAGGAATTTAGAAAGACTGTTTTCAAAACTAGTACAAGTATTTAATAAATATCTGGCAGTTTCCTAATCAATGGACTATACCACACGATTAACCATCTCACACCTTCCAGGAAGAGAAACACTAAATTTGAATAAAGATAACACCCACTGAATTGGGACACAATTAAAAATTGCTTTAAATAGTTCTTTGGGGAAGGGGACAAACTTCTACTCAATTAAGACCAACATTTGTACAGTGCAGGTCTTTTATTTTCTTTACACCTCTCATGCCATGAATTCATAGGGAATGGGTTCCAACAGTTCAGGCTCCTTTCCATTGGTTCTCACGAAGTGGGCTTCTCTGGGTGGAGCAGGCTATTAAAAAAAGGCAAGAGAGTAATTATGTAAAATACTGTACTCTCCTTCAAAATGCTCTCAGCACTAATAATATACTTGATACTGAGAAACCATGTCAAGTACTCACCTGGCGCTTCAGCTGAACCCAAGTACCTTTCTCTTTGGCTTCCTTCTTTTTCTGATCATTTTCCCTCACTCGTTTCAGGAAGCTATCTCGGCTTTTAGAGTGCTTAATATGCTCAACACGCACATTAATTCTCTTGGCAAGAATCTTGCCCCTGGACAGAGAAGAAACTCTTCTAAATGCTTCATCCAAAACATAGCCAAAATTCAGAAAATTGTTTCAGCAGTTTCATTTATTAATCTCATTGGATGAGGCCTTGAGGCAAACATCCCCACGGTTAAGCTCTCTTCTGATGAGGTGATAAGACTCTGAAACACCAAATAATTTACCCAAAACCAGACTAATAAAATGTACACCCTATTAAACTTTTTATACTCTGAAAACTAGAACTGTTTAGGAACAAATCCTGTAAGACTTTCCCGTAAGTTTACTGTTTCCTCTGACAGGTTACAAGACAAACACCCAGTTTGCTTGAGTTTTAAAAGGATGTTTCCTTTGCCCCACTTGAATGACCAATAAAGACATAAGTCCAATTGGCAAAGTGAAAAGGGGGTATGAAGGAATACTAAGCAGCCACAGAGAACCATGACATTACTTACTTAACTTGTTTGTTTACAATAATGCCAACAGCATGCTGGGTAACATTGTAGACTCTTCCAGTTTTGCCATGGTAACATTTGTGGGGCATTCCTTTTTGAACAGTACCGGTTCCCTGTTAAGAAAGGAGATAAATGTTTGTTTTTTAAATTGAAGTATCTCAGTTACAATGTGTCAATTTCTGGTATACAGCATAACATCCCAGTCATACATATATTTGTTTTCATTTTTCATTAAAGGTTATTACAAGATACTGAATATAGTTCCCTGTACTATATAGAATTAATGTTTTTTCGATCTATTTTTATACACAGTGGTTAACATTTGCAAATCTAAAACTACCAACTTTAGAAAGGAGATGTTATGACAACAATTTCCCCTTCCTTTTAAACCCAAAATAACTAAGATACTCTAAGATTTTTTTCGTTAAATGGCAACTCAAGAGCTTTCAGAGCCGGTGAAATATTTTTTTCACGTTGCTTTAAGCATCAAAAGAGACAATCATCATTAAGCTCTAGACTGCCAGGACACATTTAAATATAAACTCTCGTGATTTACCCCTCTCATTTTCCCACTAACTGTTAAAAAGAAGTAATGAGAAAATTCTTAGACTCAAGAATTGCACTCTGGTTTCCGAAAATAAAATTAAAACAGGCGTTTCTACACTTTCATTAGCTCTTCTTCAGGAAATAGATTTTTCCTCATTTAGGAAGGCCAAAAGTAGCCAAAGATACAATACACACTTGTATTTGAATTAGATTAAACCCAACGTTTCTAACTTCTAATGTTATTCTGTAGGATATTTCCCCAATCTCATATTTTACCTTGATGTCTACAATATCACCTTTCTTATAGATTCGCATGTATGTGGCCAAAGGAACAACTCCTGAAAAACAAAAAGATCCCAATATAGTCAATATCAACATTAAAAAGCCACAATTAAAAAAATTTGTAATCCTTCCAGCTTTCAAAACACACTTTTTGCCAGTTATGTGTTTTAAAGTGACTACTATATAAAATTCATGCTTTTTATTTACAAGCCAGGTAGATGCTGGTTAATTAATGCCATTTAAAAACACCTTATATGAACCACAGCACGAAGTTAATAAAACACAAATGTATGCCATGCTTGCTCCCAAGAGGGGTGAATCTACTCACCATGTTTCCTAAAAGGCCTAGAGAACATGTAGCGGGTGCCCCGCCTCTTTCCCTTTGTGTTGGTCATTTTGGCGAATTACTGAAACCAAAAAGTATAGAACAGTCAAAATATTACTGCAAAATTGATACTTGCCCTTTAACCAAAAAATGTGTAATTACAAATGCACGCATTTCAGTAGGAACATCAGAATTAGTGAACTATCTTAAAAAGCTGGCTCACCAATCAGTAGTTCTTTATAAAGGAGAAAAAAAAAACTTGTCATTTTACCAAGTAAGATCTTTACCACTACTGCCTAAGCTCTACAACTTTAAAACGCCTAAGAAGCAGAACTGGATGTTAGAACCCAAACCAGTACTTTCCCTATTAGAATACAGAATCACAACAGGACTGCTACCACAATACATCTGAAGAACCAGCCTACACTGCCAAGAACACTGGAATTTTGCTTAATTTTAACATAATGGATTAAACCCCCCTTCCTCATCAACCTAGTTTTCTGTGACCAATTTCTTATACAGCATCTATTAACTGTCAAATATCCCCAACTTACTTCATACATTACTCAGTGGTTTACTAGGAAGCATACTTAAGGCCAAAGGGAGAAAAAAAAGGCTTTATAATCACTGAACTGATTTTGACACAGGTTTGGCACTTACTTGCCAAGAGACCTACATTTAAATTCTGATCCTCATATGTAAAATGGAATTAATACTTATACAATTAACTGAGATTATGCTGCTACGAAGTACTGAGCAATTCCTAGCACATGGAAGGTGCTAACTGGTAAGCAGGACTTAACTTTATCTAAGAATTCACCTATAGGCTTTTAGAGTTGAACATCTCACTTTTCCCCAAAATGTCAAAACAATGGTTTTGATTATTTCCAATCATCCAAGGGTAGAACTACCACAGCTGGCAACTACTCCTATCACAAGGCAAAAATGTACCAAAACGCCTTTTAGGTTGCTGACAGTGTTCTAACATAAATCAGTCTCCCCATTCACAACAAATGCACACTTCACTTTAAAAGGCAATTAAGTATCTATCAAGTACCGTTTTAATTCCTAACTGCATCAAGTTCATACAAACTTACATTAAGTTCATAAAAAGGAGACGTGTTCTGCAGGTCCAAGTCACTTTACGGAGTCACAAAGTGACAGAATCAGTAATGGAAGTCATTTTTGACTCCTGAGTCCATGCTCCTTCCAACGGACCCACTTTCCGAGTCAGAAATCCATCATGATCCAATACACATACAATCGAAGGCGTTTCTACAAACAATACTCAACAACCCAAGCAATGGTGTTTCAGATTTTATAATACTACCTCAAATGGGACCCACGGGGTGCAATCCACAATTTGCTCAATTCTGGTAGCTCGCTGCTACAAACTAGACAAAAAGACACAAAACCAAGATCTAATTGGTTATTCAACAGCTTTCCCCTTAAACTTCTAAACCAGACGCAGATATTCAGGAATCCTTTCGCTCAACACTTGGTGTCCTGGCGTTAACAAAGCAATCAATACCTGTGGCAAACAAAGTTCTTTCCCTTAGCCCAACTGCGATCCCGGGCCAAAATTAAAACCACCAGAACTCATTTTCGTGCATCAGTGACAAGTGGTCTGAGGTTCCTCATCCAGGTCGACTCATTGGGCACCACTGCGATTCTCCGACCACGACCCCAGACTTTCACACGCACACACCTCGCGGGAAATTAAAACGGGCGCCTGTTTTTTAACCTGTTTCTATTACCCCTAAGTCCCTACCCCAAAGCATTACAGTTCTGGTTCTAGAAAACAGGTTAAAACTCCACACTGAAGGAGTTCGAAAGACGTGAGACCACGCGGCCCCAGAGCCTGTCCGCGAAGGCCTAGGGTAACGGGGCTGAAACCGTGGCCGCACAGGAAGAACTCCTCTCCCGACTGACCCGAGTGGCCTCAGCCCCGTGCGTCGGCCTCCTCTTCCCTGAGCCTGTCCCCACGTGGGGCCGCAGTCGAGTCCTCGGCCCCCGGGCGCAGGCCCAGGTCTGGCCCCGCGTCCGCCGCGCCCGGTCTGGACGGACACAGCTCCACCACCCAGGCCAGCGGGCCCCAATAGGCTAGACAGTCTCCCTAGGGCTCTAATGCCCCACTTCAGCGGCCACAGGGTTGGTACTCACGCGTGGGGAACGAGGGGCGCCGGGAGCCACGCGAAAGGCCTACCTGGAAGATGGCGGTTCCGGCCGAAAGGAAGGAGGCGGGGCTGTGGCGCGCGCCTTACAAGGGCCCGAGGGCTGCCCGCGGCACTGCCTGAAGAAACTCTGGCCGACAGCCACTCTTCTGGGGAAGAGCGTCGTCCCTGAGAACGAGGGGGATCTCGTTCCTGTGAGGATATTTTCCTTTCTTGCGAAAACGAGGCAGTAGACCGACACAAGCTGACACTTGGACCTTGCCAGACAGCCCGGAAAGGGGCCTTCAAGGGCGACCCAAGGAACCGACGTCCCGAGCGTGCCGACGTCCGCCCTGCGTCAGACGCCGCGCCGGAAGTGGGTGTGTGCCTGCGTCCCCGGGCTCCGGGGCGCGGCGTCTCACCCGCCGTCTGAGCTTTTCGTCGGCTCCTGACGGCCGTCTGTAGAGGTGGTTACGTGGGGACAAAAGTAAAACTGTGGTGAAGAAAGCGTGTTATCCAGCTTGTATGTCTTTCAAAAGTTTTTTTTTCCCCCAGTGCGTCAAGACATACTACGCAGCTGCTGGTAGGTGCGCGTTACAGCTGCTTTGGAAAGCAATTTGGAGAAACCGAGTGAAACCGAAAATATCGAAATACCAAATTCCAGCGTTCCCTCTTTGTGTCTTACAGGAACTCTGATATGTAGGCAAAGGTCTGTACAACAGCAGATGCGTAGAAATAAAAAATTGTAAGTGTCTTACAATAAAAGCATGAACACATGAAAGGATGGAATATATGCCAGGAAGTCAAGACAGCCCAGAAATGTGATGAAGCAAAAAGAGGGAGATGTATAATACACACAGTTGGACAATTTATATACATAGAAGTTTAAACATTCAAAACAATACTATATATTGCTTAGGAATATATGCATACGTAGTGAAGTAGTCAAGAATTAGCAAGAGAATGAAAATCAAACAATAGTCCTATCTGGTAGGGAGGGGACTATAAAGAAAGGGATATAAAGGAGATTTTAACTGTCTTGGCTATTTGTAAACTGGGTATTGAATACATGGGAGGCTGTTGTTTGTTACTGTACTTTTTAGTATTTTGTTAATGGAGATTTTTAAGGTAGTTTTAAATTTACTTAAAAAAAGTTTTTTAATGGTACAGAGAATTCCTATATGCTTGACACACAGTTTCTCTTGTTAGTGTGGTACACTTGTTACAATTAGTGAACCAATGTCGTACATTATTGTTAATGAAAGTCCATAGTTATTCAGATTTCCTTGTATTTTATCTAGAATCCTTTTTCTGTTCCAGGATCCCATCCAGGATGCCACAATTCAGGTAGTTATCATGTCTCCTTATGCTGTGGTGGTTTCTCAGGCTTTCCTTATTTTTAGTGACCTTGACAGTTTTGAGGAGTCCTGGTCAGGTATTTTGTAGGTTGCGCCAATATTGGAATTTGTCTGATATCTTTCTCATGATTGTATGGATTATTTTTATAGTGTGTTTTCTAACAATTAACTAAGCAACAAAAATCTTAACCTATTTGAATTTAAGGAATGTTATCCCAGTGATTTCAAAAATTGTGTTGTTTTTTTTTTTTTTGACTCACTCCCCTGTTGCACCTGGGACTTGTAATTTCTAAAACTTGCATAGGTTCAAAAATTTTGAATTTATATATTTGGTGACTATAGTCTCTAGCCCTTAAACTCACTTGCTCAAGAACTTGAGAAGGAATAAGGATTGCCTTCATCAATTCTTTTAACGCCTCCTTTTGGCAACTACATTGTTTATCCAGCTTAATTTTTAGTAGTTCACCATTATGACTGCTCCCTTTCAACTCCCTCAAGTCATTCTGTCTTTCATATTGTTCTCCTTGCTAATGTCCAACCTTGGATAAATGCAGCCCTGACAGCATTTCCACAGCTGAGCATCATGGAAGAAAATCCTGCCAACAGGCCAACTCGTGTCATTGTAGTTATTCCTGGGCTATATTTTTCACACACAAACCTGTTTTCTTCAACACAGTGTTTTTTTTTTAACACAGAGTGTTTTTAAATTTAAAATATGTTACATAAATTCAAGATTTCTGGCTTCTCTTGAAAAATCAGGAGATTTGTCAACGTAAAGCTGACAATCTTGGTGGCAGAATCCAGTAGTTACCTGCTTTAAATGGGGCGTGTGTGCTTGAGTTTTGTGT